TCTACCTACCTACCTATCTATCTATCTATCTATCTATCTATCTATCTATCTATGTATCTGTCTACCTATCTATCTATCTATCTATCTATCTATCTGTCTATCTATCTATCTATCTATCTATCTATCTATATCCATATATACATATTGCCCTGGTAGGTTCCTTATAGGAGCCCTTACAGATCCCTTTGGGAACCTTCATGGTTCCCTCAATACCCTGAACCCAAAACCCTGAAACCCTAAACCCCGAACCCTAAACTCTGAACCCTGAACCCTAAACCCTCTGAGCCCTAAACCCTGAACCCTAAACCCTCAACCCTGAACCCTAAACCCCGAGCCCTAAACCCTAAACCCCGAACCCTGAACCCTGAACCCCAGCCGCCGGCCTGCTCCGCGTGCCGTTGCAAGGCTACGATGGTGGAGGTCGATTCGGTGAACCCTAAGGACCGCCCTTTATATAAGAGCTTCGCTTGGGGTTTATAGGGCTTCGGGTTTAGGGGTGTAGGGTTTAGGGTTTAGGGTTTAGGATTTCTTTAAGGGTTCCTTTAAGGTACGGTTCGGATTTTGGGGTTTTGGGTTTAGGGTGGAGGGTTTAGGGTTCTATAGTCTATGTAGGGGTTCAGGGCTTTAGGGTTACAGGCTCTAGAAGGGATTAGGGCTTCAGGATTAAAGTTGGAAGTTTAGGGTTTTGGCATTTCAAGGACTGGTCCGAGGAGAAACTCCATTGAGCGGCACAGCCCACCAGGCACGACTTCTTTCGGGTGTGGTCGCTTGGCTTGCGTACTCCAGTGCCCATCTCGAGGTACGTTCCTGTCGCAGCTAACAGCCGGTCTTTCGAGACCACGGTCGCCGGACCGAAGGACAAGACCAGGCGAATCCGGGATCTCCATCTTCCCCACACTGGAAGCGGCCAAAGTGAACTGCGATTCGCCAGATGAGTGGGAGAGGGTGGGCAAGCCGATGGAGGTAGAATATTACCTCCATCGTGACTAATGCACCAAAGTGGCTAATGCACCGGCTCCATTCAGCCGCGCAACAACAGAAAGGCTTCTGCGAGTGACGTGAGACGTAGCTTGATGTGTCGCGGCTTGCGGCCATCAGCCCTGCCCCATGCAGACTTGACTCAGGCTTGGACCACGTCGTGTACAGAATGGTCCTGAACCTGAGCGCGCTCTGTCCTCCGGCGCAGGGCTGCTTCTCCCAACCCTTCCCCCTGTATTTTGTAATCTGAGGTACATGTCGTCTTCAACACTGCCGTTGACGGCAAGCAAAAATCCTTACCGTGTATCCTCCCCGCGGGCGCTTCCTGGCTCCGTTCTTGCGACAGTTTGGAACTGTGAGGGTTGAGGGCTGCGACGTTTGGAATTTCAGATTAGCTTGTCGGCTTGTCGCGCATCTGGGGCTCCCAGAACGGATCCCACGTGTTCCATCGCATGACAGCGGTGTCTTGGGACACAACTTGCGGCTAGCGTTCGGCAACCTCGTCTATGTTCCATGGTGGAGGTGCGAGATCTAGCTTGCGGGGGATAGAAGAACGGCGCGGAGCTCAGCCTTCCTCCGTGAGATGTTCTCTGGCGACAAGACAAAGTCGTCCGCTGGCATCTCCGTGTGGCGCCGGACGCACGTCCGGATGACCAAATCAGCCTGCAAGATGGCACTACGGATGCGAAGACAGGAGCCCTGAACCGAGGTGCTATCGGCAAAGCTGACAGCTTGTGCAGCTTCGTCCAGACCTCACGGCGGAGAAGACGGAGTTGCACGCTCGGACAAGTTTTTCGTCAGCATGCATAAGCTGCTACGAGGGCGAGGAGGGCAGATGTCAGTCTCTACCCGGTGCAGACCGAGCGAAAGACGACGATCCATCGTGCTGAGTGAGCTCTCTAGAGCTTAAGTTGGATTCTGGAGTTCCAAGAGCTGGCGCAGAAGGCTCAGACGTACCAGCTCGGTCTTCACCTCCGTGTCTGAACACCATGTTCACGTCGGAGATCCGGTCCAGCGAGGAAATCCAGGTTGTAACTATAAGTTATAACTTCAACGCAGTGTCCAAGTTCGCCCTCGAAGTGGGCACTGAGTGGGAGAAGCTGCTCATGGAGCCGTTTTTCCCTTTGCGAAGCTTCTGGCCTTGGCCTGACTTGGCTGCTGGACTTAACCGCGCTGCCCTACAACGTGGGCCATTAAGGTATATGGGGTAGGTGGGTGGGTGGGTGGGTGGGTGGGTGGGTGTGGGGTGGGGTGGAGGAGCTGAGACTCTTTCTTGGCAGTGATGTCCCAAGCTTTCTGTTACAGATGCGTGAAGCGCCCGACGATGTGAACTTCGCGCAAAAAAGTCAAAGAGCTCGGAAAGCAAATTAGCAAGGTCAACAAGGAAATCGAAGAAGCGATTCTCTTGCCACCTCCGCCGGCTGCATCGGCATCGCCCGGTGTCAAGAGGAACCTCGCGGATCTCCTGGGAAGCGCCATGGACGAGGGATAGGACGACAAGCGTTCCAAAAGCGATCGTCGCGGAGCCAAGCCATCGGCCAGAGACAAGCGGACGCGTCGCCCCTCCAACTGCTCGGCTGCAGAGGAAGCTCCCGCGGACAACGAGCAGGCAAAAGCCGATGCGGACAAGACAAGGTGCTGGCAGCCACATCCGACGTCCCGTCCGGCCTGCGTGGTCTACAATGACTTACAGGTTGTTAGGTTAGGATAGTGTTTTCTGCTTCTGGGTTTAGGGTTTGGTCTTCGACGAGTTTTCTAGTTTTCCCCGTGGCTTTACGAGCGGCTTCAAGCTTTCACAAGACTTCTGGATTTCAGGTTGTAGCGTTCAGGCTATAGGGTAAAAGAATCAAGGGGTTGGTGCTTGGCAGGAAAAGAGGGTAAGTCTTTAAGCTTTCTGGGTTCGGGGGTTGGAGCAAAGTATTCACAACACGAAAACGTAAATCCAGAATCCCTTAAGACGCCTCTGAGTAGTCACGAAACACAACTACGTAAACAGTAGCCCGGTCGAAATGCTAAACCGTTTTGCTTTCCTCAGTGCACCTGGCCCTTACTGTACTATCGGAACTCAGCAAAGCCTTGAAACTTAACAAGACTTGTAACTTCGAGCAGCATCATGTGAAGATTGTATGGGTTGGTTTTGTGGGCTTCCTGTTTCCAGGAAGATTACAAGAAGCTTGAAGAGGCCATTGCGGCTTGGCATGGAGGAGTCTATGGGCTACTATGACGTAAACCTGAAGCCCCAGGCCCCAGGAAGCACTGAAGAAATAATGGGCGGAGCCCTGCTGGCCTTGATTAATATGTTGTTTCTCCTCCCCCCCCTCCCCGCAAGCGTTATTATTATTTTCCCTCCGTCCCCTCAAGTATCTACTATTTGGGCGCATGGACCCTTAAGGGAGGAGGGATATCAGATCTTGTAAAAACCCTCATTCGGCTAAAAGCTCTGATGTCCCACAACTAAGAATCTCCACCATATATAGGTTAAGGAATGCTCCGTAATCTGGGCCTTTTCTTAAACATCTTCATAACCCTAAACCCTAGACTCAAGCCCTTAAGATTAGACCTTTCTTGAGTCCGTGCGGCTTGTGGACTGAGGCCAACGGGAAATTGTCGAGCTTTGACTGCAGTGGATTTAGGGTTTAGGGTCCACGCGGCTTTGGGGCATGAGGATCTTATACACAGGCCTTACTAACAATAATGATGATTGTAAAAGTAGGTAGAATAATTAATCAAGTATGTTAGCTAGTATATTAACCAACATTCGAAAGACACGTCTTGGCATGTTGGTTTAAACCGGCTGAGAATTATTAACATAGTACCTAATAAACAAGCAAAAAGGAATGAACATAATAATGGGAGAAGTACCAATACGATGAGCGATGATAATAATAATGACAACAGTTCCTGGAGCAAGGTTTCGAGTTTTTGCGCTATAGTCGTAATCAAGAGCCCGGAGTCCATGGGCCGAATATCCAGGCTTGCGAGTTGCGTGTTTAGGCGCAGACCTCTGATTCACAACACCGCCTTGCATGTTCTGGAGGATCAACACAGGCGGGATCCCTATCACAGCCCACATCATGTAGACCAAGATGTATCAGCAAAAGCCAAGTTCCTCTACCGGACTGAATGGTCGCATCGCTGTTCGAAGGGTGATTTACAGTTTATTGCTAACCAGCAGTCTTGAGCGACGCTTTACCCCACATCCAACAATCACTCTATGCCCAAAGGGTCCTGAGTCCTAAGTGCCTTTGAGGGGGGATACTTGCCCAAACCATAACAGTAATTCTTATACATTAATTACTATATAGGTACGTACTTAAGACCCTTTGAGATATTCTCCCTGAGCCCCAGCAGTCCTAGGCCCCAAACCCGCAAACCCACGACCCTAAACCCTGAACTCAAAGACCCCCCAAGCCCTTAACCGTAAACTAAACCTAAACTCTAAACTAGACCCTAAACTCTAAATCCTAAACCTTAAACCCTAAAGCCTAAACTAGACCCTATAGCCTAAATCCTAAACTCAGAACCCTAAACCTTGAACTCTAAACCCTAACCCCACAAAACCTGCTAGTACCCTAATAGATCCCGAAGCGAGCCCTTATAGTACCTCTTCCCTAAACCCCGAGCGCCGTAAGCCCAAGATACCCCGACGTCCTATATAGGGGCCCCCCAAAACCCCTGTGGCGCGCTAAACCCTAAGGCCCTAAGGGTTTGCAGTTTTTTTGAATCAGTTCATGAGAGCCAAATAACAGTCACATGCACCACGATGATCTGATGAGCGTTTCGCCATTGCCTTGTCGCGGGTTGAAAGGACGGAACCCAAGTTGCTGGCTGAGCTTACACGAAAGCTCCCATTGGTCCCAACAGACGAGCATGAAAAGCAAAGCGGTGAGTGCGGGTGGTCGGCCAAATTCATGAGGCCAGCCGCACGCTGCTTGTCCAAAGCACCGCAATCCAATGACGTTGGGGCCCGGTGCTCCGGCTGCCTCGGCTGGGGTGGCTGCTGCAGAGGCCAAGGCCGCAGCCGCCAAAACTAAGGAGGCCAACCCCGTGGGAACTTACAAAGTGAAGAAGGCGAAGCCCAGCTTGCTGGAATCCAGTCCGTTCCCCATCGTGGACAGACCAGAAACGAAAGGGCTCCTTGAGGGTGCGGTTTTGGGCAAGGCGGGGGCGGAAAGATTGCATGGTTGCCATTGGCTGCTTGTTAGTTTGCTGCTGTCAGGCAGCCCAGCACGCGAAAATCTGTGTGCAACTTCAGGGTCATGAGGCCAGCGAGAAAGCCTTCAATGACAGCCGCCCCGATTGTGGTGACGATATCTGCACACGCAGAATGGAGGCCACCGGTGACACTGCCACCTCGCGCGCCCCTCCCGCCGGCACTTCCTGCCGCCCCGGCAAAAAGCATCGGCTAAGGAAGCTTACAGCCTTACACCCTCAAGCCTACAGCCCATAAGCCCCTACCTCCGTGAAGCTTTGAAGCTTGGACCTTGGAGCCTTAAACTTAAAACCCGCAAGCTCCAAAGTACTTCCGTATAGAGTGGGGCAAAGTTGATCTTAGGGTTCTGGTGAGTGTATTGACTGCTCCACAAACAGAGTGGTGAGTGCAGATTTCGGGCGCTCGTTATAGGGTAGACCAGCAATAGAGAACGTCTGCGCGTGCAGACGCGGGTCCAGACACTAAGCCCGAGGCCCTGAAATGCGTAAGGCGTAAGCCTCTCAAACCCAAGACATTTCAATATCATAATCTTTTAACTTTGAACGCTCTCAAGCTTGAAACATCGATATTTCCCGAGACTCCACCGTAGCACAGCTCCTCGCGAGAGAATTTTCCAGGAATTGGGCATGGGTTTAGGGGTCTATAGGGCTGAGCGGCCACGAAAACAAACGATTGACATCACAAGATCTTGAAACATCGCTGTGCAGTGTGAGTGTTATGGTATTGTGAGGTAAACTTAAAGAGCGAAGCTCTCCATCATAGCAGCGCAGTCTCTTCCGGGAATGCTTGTGTTCGGTTTCCCAACACCTTTAGATCGTGATCTTTAGAAAGTACACCCCAGAACTAACCCTATGGCATTCATGCGATCCCGGCAACACTCAGGAATGCAGAAACCTTCACGGTGAAGATCCAGAAGCAGAATGGCCAAAGCGGCTTAGAGTTTTCCAAGGCACCACCCTAAACCCTACATTGTGCCCTGCCGGAGATTAGGGCTTGTGTATGATTCAGGGTTTAGGGTTTAGGGTTTCGTGTTAATGCCTTTCTGTTCGGGGGGCCTTGTGGAATCCACAGGAGCCACGCCTCTCCCCACCTGCGAGAGCCACGGGCAGGGAAAGCAACACACCTTGACAGTGAAACACGATATGTCAATAGTCTATTACAATATACTGTATATGGTTGTGGTAGGTTAAGGTTATAGTATAGTATTATACTACTATACTATAACCTTAACCTACCAAAACCCACTTTTTTGTAGGTTCTTATTCTAAACCCTAATATGGGATATATAGGGAACAGACAAAACAGTAGGTTCTGGTAGGTTAAGGTAGGGTTTAGGGTTATAGGGTAATTCGGTGCCAGAAGTCGACGTGGCTGTCGGTCGGGGAGAGGATGATAGCGGCATGCTGCGCCTCCTTGAGTTTTGGCTCAATTCTGTCAGCCCTTCAGCCATTCAGCCCCTCCCCCGCACAAAGCGACACTATGTCGGCGCAAGAGCTGGCACTGATCCACGGCACGGGTTGCGTTGGGGCACTGGTGAGCACATGCATCGCCTTGGCGCCCCTTCGGGAGATGCTCCGCGCGAAGGCAGTGGGAAGCCTGAACGGCTTTGACACACGGCAGTTGCCACTTCTCTTCGTGAACTTCTACATTTGGGCCGTCTATGCCGTGCAAGTTGGAGACGTCTGGGTCTTCTTGGCCTCGAGTCCCGCAGCAGCCGTTTGCCTCTACAACATCACCAGCGCTATCACCTTGCTCTCGCACCTGGGATCGCAGGTCCTCTCTTGAAGCCCTAAAAGCTTGAAGCCAAAACCAAGTAAAAGCCAGTATTCTTTGCACCAAGACCCTCAATCCCAAAACCGCTAACTTCTACATCCCAGACCCTATAAATCCCTGAACCCCCAACCCCCCATGCAGCCTAGGCAGGAGGAGGGTGCAGTTAGCCAGTTGTGCAAGCCAGTCGATGCTGGCTTCCTTCGACGCAGTCCATCACGAGCCTGGGTCGAACCGAAATCCGGGCTTAACGTAGAGGCCTTGTAATAATTAGAATAAGGTTTTGGGGGGTTCCTTATTTTAATTCTAGTATAATGTACCCCAAGACCTTATTCTAATTGTTACGGCCCCATGTTAGGGTAAATTTAGGGTTGCTTTGTGTTACCCTAAACTTTACAAGCCCTAAACCCTAAGACCCCGAACCTTTGGATGTCAGGAGCTTGGCATGAGGCCAGCAAAGAACAGCGCAGCAGTATGCTGAGAAGGCTGGAGAGGCAGACGGTTGGAGGATTCCTTGCAATCTCTTTCATCAGCTGCTTCCTGGGGAAGTGGGAACTCGCTGGTTTGGAGGTTGTCAGCGAGAGTTTTCCTGTGTCAACGAGGGAAGAGGTCCTGGGTTGCGTGGGGTCCATGGCGGCATTTGTGGCCTATTCTCGGCCCGTGATGCGCCTCTACACCTATTGCTGTCGACGGGATGCCTCACCGATCCTCTTGTCTCTGGTCTGCATGGTCTTGATCAGCAACACGTTGTGGACCGTCTATGGCATTAGCACGAACAACCCGTGGGTTTATGTCCCAAACGGTTCGGGAGCTTTGGTGTCTATCATGCAGATCTTTGTGCGCCTGGTCTTTCCTGGACGTCGCAGTCGGAGGGATCAGACAGATGGCTTGGAGAAGCCGGCTCTGACAAAAGACCTGGAGGCTAACTCCACGAGTGTGCACCCAGATGATGGATCCCTGCGTCTCTCCTCCCGCCAGAGTCTGCATGAAGATTACTTGCTTTGGCAGCAAGACTACTTCAGGTGGCGGTCTATGGCTGCGACCGTTTCGTCTGCATCTTCTACGGCCTCAGGAGGCGATGAGGATGTAGTGGACGACTTTGGCCTGGCGGAGAATGGTCAGCTGCTGCTTAACCAGACTGTCGATAAACCTTCGGGTGTGCGAACAACGGGCCAGCACTGATTTGCCAGCTCAAGTTGGGGGATGATGCCTTTTTGAGCCTGCATGTAATTATCTTCATTAGGAATTAGGACCTTAGCTTTTTGCCCAAGGCCCGAGGCCAGTCGAGCCAGTGAAGTTGCAGCTGGAGAGTTGCCATGAGGAAATGTCGATCAAGTCATACTTCGTGCCGAATCTCACGGAAGAACCCATGGAAACTTGTCTAATTTGTTACCGGCTTGGTACACCAGTGCCGAAATTGTTGCAGCGGCACCTGCTGGATGCCTGATGCCTCTCAACGTTTGTGCAGTGCAAGAAGTTTCGATTTTTGCAGTGATCCAAATCCATGCTACTTGGAGGTTCATGGGCAGTTCGTCCCGTGATCCTCCCAGTGGAGAATGTTCAGCGAGTGTGGCCAAGCCATGCGCGTTCTTTTGCTACCAACTTTGCGTCGTCGAACACTCTTTCGTCGCGAAAGGGTTTTGTGGTAGCAGAGAGCTGTTCTGTTGCTTCTTGTGCCGCTGCGGCTGCTGGCGCTGCTACTGCTGCTTCCGCTACCGCTGCGGCTACAGTCGCTGCTGCTGACTGCTACTGCTACCGCTAGTGCTACGGCTACGGCTGCTGCTACGGCTGCTGCTGCTGCTGCCGCCGCCGCCGCCGCTGCTGCTGCTACTGCTACTGAAACGGCTACTGCTGCTGTTACGGCTACGGCTGCGTCTACTACGACTATTGCGCTGCAACACTGTCATGATGTGCGGGCTTCGGGGTTGCATTGTTCCTGTTGTTTCCAGGATATGGAGTTCTAGCTTGGTTGATTTAGGCATTATTTTAGAGTGGTTTAGGGTCTGGGTTCAAGGGTTTCGGAGACATCGATGTATACCTGAAACTACCATAACCTACTATTGTGGTAGGTTTTTCTCATAAACCCTAATATGAAGTTTATAGGGATCCCACAAAAAAGCAGGCTTTGGGTAGGAGTGTAAGGACTCCTCACACCCAAGTCAGATCGTGAAGCCTTCTATGTAGGGATTAGACTAAGAATTGCTTAGGGTGCAGGGTTTAGGTTTAGACGAGCTTCGGGCATACAGGGCTATAGAGTCTGGAGTTTAGGGTTGAGGGTTATTCTAATCATAACACGACACAGACCCCCCCCCCCAACAGCCACACTAATCACAAGGTAGTATTAGGGAGACCCCTTAAAGGGGACCCTCTTCTTCTGGCTCTCTTAAAAGGTGGCCTTACATGGAGGGTCTATATCCCCAAGGGTCCCCCCTAAACCCTAAACCCTAAACCAGCTCCTGCAGTTCACACCGGATACCTGGTGCCGATACCGACGGTACCGGAGCACTGCAGGCCCTATGTAGGGTTTAGGGTTTAGGGTTTAGGGTTTAGGGTTTAGGGTTTAGGGTTTAGGGTTTAGGGTTTAGGGTTTGGTGTACGGTTGAAGGGTCTTAAGAAACCCAAGCTCCAGCTATCCGACTAGTACCGACTTCTTAGTTCCCCAATACCCAACCTTTAAACTTTAAACTTTTTCGGTTCTTATAACTTAGTATTAACCTAAAATTTTAACTTTTTATTTCCCGGGCTTATTTGGGGAAGTAAGACTTAGGTCCCAAAACCTATACTCTGAGAGGTTTTAGTTGTCACTGAAAGCCTTGCTATCTGGGTTCGTAGACACTTACAAAAAACCCGATAGAACTTTCCTACATCGCCCTCAATACCTCATGACTAAACCCTAAACCCTTAGCCCGATAGACTGTAGACCCTAAGCCCTTAACCCTAAACCCTAAACCCTAAACCCTAAACCCTAAACCTATAAGGCTAAAGCCTCAACCGAAAGCCTGAACCGTAGGAAGTTCCGACAGGCGGACACCGGCGTGCTGACTGTGAGCGGCGTGGTGCAGCCTGGTGCTGTGGCTGTGGCTTTGGCTGCACTTCTCGGCGAATCGGGGCTTTCTATTTATGGTTTCGTGAAGCCCCTGAAAGGTCTTGTAAGGGCTAAGGGATGTGCATAGGGGCTCTATAAAGGTTCAAAGTTCTATGCGGGTTATATAGGTGTTAATGGGGTTTCTTTTGATGTCGGACTAGTTACCAATGCAGTCCGCTAATGCTCCTTATAGTATAATTTCCGTATCATGTCGTTAAGGCCCCTATACTACCCCCTAAACCCTAAACCCTAAGCCTACCGTCTTAGCGTGAAGTTAAGGGACGTATAAGTGCTCCTTTAGGGGTCTAGGTCTTCAGTTTTTGGAGTTACTGTGACACACTGTAGTTTAGGGCTCTGGGTTTAGGGTTCAGGATTTTAGGGTTTAGGGGTTAAGGGTTTAGGGGTTTGGGTTTAGGGTCCTGCGGCCTGAAGTCTGGTACTGTGGCTTTTTTGGGGGTTTCTAGAAGGGTTCTTCTTCAACGGGTTCTACAAGGGTCACCCCTTCAGACCAGGGTATTGGATTCTGTTATAGTATATAAACACAATAAGGAGGCCTGAGGCCTCTATCTTTATGTACAGTATTAGGATGTTTAGGCACTCAAGGGTTTAGGGTTTAGGGTTCACTACAGCCCTAAACCCTAAACCCCCCTAAACCGATTCGAGTGTTTAGGCACTCCAACTGGACTCCAGCTCCGCTTAATGATGCGGAAGCTCCAGGACGACTGCAGCGCCCACTGTCGGGGAGGTCAACTGCAACTTTAGGAACACCACCTCCACCTCGGTCTGCGCTTTGACAGTCGTTAGCTCGGAATTTGAGCGGACGCAGAAGCAGTTATTCCTGCGTTGGATGAGTTTCTGACGTCCGAAGAAGAAGACGAACTTGAAGTTCCTCAAGCGCTCGACTCCATCACAGAGCACCAACAGCTTCAAGAGGCTTTGGGTTCCGTCGGCCCTAAACCCCGAAACGCTAAACCCCGAGACCCTAAACCGAAACCCTAGATCCTAAGCACTAGCCCTAAACCTTAAGCCCTGAACCCTAAACCCAAAATTCTAAGCCCGATACCCTAGCCCTGGACCTCAAACCCCAAATCCTAAAACCTTTCCACCTGGATTCCACCTTGCCGCACTTGGACTGGACGAAGAAAATCAATGCCGCATATTGGGCCCACCAAGCACAGCCTTACAGAAACTGGAAGCCTCAAACGTTAGGGTTTAGTGTTTCAGGGAGTTTGGCATGGTTGAGGTTTCGGGCTTTGGGGGGTTTTGGAACTTAGGGTGCCTGTACCTTTCTGTGTTGCATCTGCCTTAAACTACCAAAACCTACCTTTTTTGTAGGGTCCCTATAAATTCCCTACTAGGGCTTATAATAAGAACCTACAAAAAAGTAGGGTTTGGTAGTTTAAGGTACACAAGCTTCTGACAGGGTGTCTCAGACGGTGCCCAAGCCCTAAAGCCCCACGAGTCCCACGAGGGTATTGGTATGGCTTAGGCTTGCCTAGGGGTAAAGCATTTTGGTGAAGGCGTGCATGTCTTTGCAATGCTGTCGTTCCGTGCAAGATTTGCCCATATTTACCGGGACCTGTTGAAACCTACCTCTTGAGGACAAAAAGTATGGGCTCAGGATGTCAGACTCTAAACTCTAACCCCCTTACCTTAAACGGTTCAGTTTTTGGGCGCCATAAGGTTTAAGTCCACGATTTTCGGGTTGAGGGTTTCGGCAGTTTAGGGTTTAGGGCTTAGCAACCCCAGACCCTAAACCCTAAACCTTAAACCTTAAACCCTAAACCTTAAAACCTAAACCCTAAGCCCTAATCCCTAAACCCTAAACCTTCAACCCTAAACCCAAAGCCCTGAACCCTAAACCTTAAACCCTAAACCCCAAACCCATGCATAAACATATCCCGTGAAGCTGCAGCAAAGCTTTCAATCTATGTGTCGCGCCCAAGGACTGGAACGACAGGTGTCCCCCTGGCCAGGACGGCTTAGGGTTTAGGGCTTAGGGTATACGGTTTAGGGCTTAGGGCTTAGGTTTTAGGGCTTAGGGCTTTGGGTTTTAGGGTTTTGGGTTTAGGGTTTAGGGTTTACGGCTTAGGGTTTTAGTTTAGGGTTTAGGGCTTGGGGAAGGCCAGGACGAAGCTGCTTTGGGGCTCTTAGCGCTGTTCGGGCTTCGAAAGTTGGGGGATATAGGGTGCATAGTAGTCTGGGAAATTGACGGGGTTCAACTAACCTTCCACATCTCAAAGCGTGGTGTGCTAGGGTCCAGGGTTTGGAGTCTAAGCTGTGATTGTAAGCATCATGCTATTTCCGCTTTTGGCGCTCCAAGGCACCGCTGGGATTGTTGCAAGTGCACCATGCTCCTGCACGGTGTGGGGGGGGGGGGTTTGGCCTGCATCGAAGGCAGTGGTAATTCTTTTCGCCACAAAAGCACAGTGTTCTGCAAAAGCTGTGATGGGAGTTGCTTGCACCGGTGGTTTCTGGATAGGAACTGATGACAATTAGGCTTCATATCGAGGTCGAGTCGTTCAACATGAGTGCATCAGCTCTTGGCCGTGCTGCTGATGCGCACAAACCTTTGCCAGAGTCTGTGGGAGTCATGGTACGTTCCCTGTGTGGATCATCAGCAGGACCTTCACTTGTTTCTCCGCCGCCTCCACACATACAGACTTGCTCTTTGACTGTGGTGAGTACATGTCTTGAGCGAGACAGTGCAGAACAGGGAGAGGATCAGTTGCGGAGTGTGGCGGTTTGAGGGGGCGTATAGGGTATAGGGTTCAGAGTTTAGGGTTAAACGAGGTCTTGCAGATCACGACGGCAGACGGCCATGTTGATCATTGCGACAGACTGGGCTCGATTCGTGATGAATTCATTAGGAAGTCTGTCACATCTAGAACGACTCGAGCCTGTTAAGGACGTCTCGTTCATGTTGGGGTCCCTGTCGATGGAAGCAGGGCTCCTGCTGATTCCGCTCCCTGATACAGCAAAGCCAGTGATTTGATGCATCAGTCAGGAACCGAAAGCTCTCAAGATCATCTCTTAGTCCGATCTCTGGAATGCCTACCTTCGAATCTTCAGTGTGACGCTCTCCCGTTTGAGCTCGCGGCAGCAGTTGCATCAGCAGGCAAAGTCTTCTGCTGCGGCACCAATGGCAATAATTATTAGTCGCGGGGAGCGACCACTATCACCATCTTATCGCCAGCGGCAGCACCACCACCACTGCTGTCATCATCATCCCCATCATCATCGTCATCAGCAGCAGCAGCAACAGGACACGCAATACAACAGTGATTGCAGTAGCCCGACAATCAAACCCCAGCATCATCACGGATCTGTGCGTGCGTGTGCGCGCGTGCAGGTCTGTGTGTAGGTGTGTAGGTGTGTAGAGGTGTGTGTGTGTGTGTGTGTCTCTGTGTGTGTGTGTGTGTGTGGGTGTGTGGGGTGCGCGCCCTTGTGTGAAACCCTAAATTCTGGCAGGATATTCGGCTCTACGATCGAGTCCTGAGGGTCAATGGCAAGGCTTGGTAGCCGGTAGCTCCCCACCCTGAGCCCGGAGCGTTAGTGCCTTAGTCCGCTGTCGCGAATACCCTAAACCCTCAACCCTAAACCCTAAACGGTTGAGAATGCAGGGCTTAGGGCTTAGAAGGTTACAGGTGTCTCGACTTACCCATAGTGGATGGGCCCTTGGGGTTTTGGGGTTTAGGGCAAAACCGCCGGCATGATGCGATTCGGACCTCGTGACTGTCGCAGGGGCTGGATTCATATGCTTGGAGAGGAGTTATAGGTTCCATTGTAGTTCCTTTTTTTTGGTTTAACCCCGTTTATTAAGGATTTTATAAGGTATCCCAAAAAAGGAACTACAATGGAGACTACAGGGAGTGAAGGAGTCCCCATCCTCATCATCCGTTTCCGTACCGTATGCCCTGACTTAGCCAGTCTTAACGCCCAGAGTATTCCACATTTGTTCAGTCATATATAGTTCAACCTTAAATTTTTTTGAAAGCCAGATAGTCGGAGGTGAAAGTCACCTCAACTAAGAAGACACTAAGAAGCAGCCTTCAACCATTATTCCCATTATTATTCCTTACTTAGCGGGTTTCGAGTCTCTGGGTGCACACCGCATCCCCGCAATCTCAACGGCAGCAGACTTTAGCATCTTGCAGGTCCGGCGCCTGGAGCGTGGTTTTTTTCTACCGCTAAGCATTCGAAACAAGGAGAGGACATATTTTTGTGTGAGCTTCTTTAGGTGGAACCCTTGTAACCAGATTTCTACAGATCTTTGTCGATCGTTGCAATGTCTTGAGGGTGGTGTTTTGAAGCCTGCTTTGGAACCCCGAACCCCAAAGCGCACAAGCTAAAACCCACGAGCCCTAAACAGTACACTCAACCTTGAGGCACCTTGCGCTCCGAACCAACGGAATCGACCCCCAAATCACACATAAGCACCCTGCGACTCGGAACGACTAAGCACCTAATCCATTCTGAACTACGGGCTACATCCTTAGACAACCCTGTTAAATCCCTTTGCAGAGCCGTAAAGGACCCCTACACCCCAAGCTGCTACAGGCCTGGAGCAACCCAAAGACTCTAAACCCTGAGTTAATCAGGAAAATCAACTGATGTAGGGAGTCCTAACACCATTGTTTGAATACTCCTTCGTGAAGGAACTTGTTTTAATCACCTAAAAACATCTAAAAGCTCATTAAGCCCTTATGCTTATACAGCTAGAAGACACCTGACCGCAAATGGAAACCCTGTACATCCTTGTACCAATCCTAAGCCCTAAACCCCAAACCTCCAAACCCTAGACTCTAAGCCCCACACCCTAACCTGGAAACCCTAAACTTTTCGATCCCAAACCCCAAACCTTCGCGACCTTAAACCCCTAAACCTGAATTCCCCTGAACCCTAAACCCCCTGAGCCCTGAACCCTAAAGCCCTAAACCCTTAACCATATCAAACCCCTGAGCCCTAAACCCTAAAGCCCTAAACCCTTAACCGTATCAAACCCCTGAGCCCTAAACCCTAAACCTGTGTATGGAGTCGATGCCAACAGGCCGGCAGCGCCATGGACCTTCTCACTGCCTTACGAGCAGCTTGGCCACGACCTTGCTATCTAAAAGGTTCCTGGGTACCGTTATCGAGGAATACTTTAAACCACAAAAATCGGAACCCTACATTCTACGTACTATATGTGTGGGACCCTTCGGGTATCTCAATGTTATCTACTGCTAAGGGCATAGGGTTCCGGGTTACATGGGCTTCAGGGTTCGGGGTGGAGGGTGTTTCCGTAGTTGTTCAGGGTTCCGTAAGGGTTGTTAACCCCCGAACCCTAAACCCTAAACTTCCTAAACCCTGAACCCTAAATCCTAAATCGCTCCACAGGGTTTCTATTACTATTGTTTTTTTGTGATGATGTTGTAAGCTTGAGGGCTAAGGGTTTGACTTTTGGTTTGGCAGGAGGGTCGGGGGCTCTAGGGGCTTGGGTCTTTCAGAGTTTTTGCCTTTAGGGTTTATAGGGTTTAGGTTTAGTTAAGGGTTTTGAGTTTAGGGTTCAGGTTTTGTTTAGGGTTGATAGGGTTTAGGTTTAGCTTAGGGTTTAGGGCTTTTAGGGTTCAGGGTGTAGGGCAGTGTACGGTTTGGTCTGTGGTTTAGGATTGCCAGGCGACTCCTTTGTCATAGTTGGGTAACATTTTACATTTTTAAGGGTACTTAAACCCAATAAGGAACACAAATTTAAAAATTAAATACTACCCCAACCATGAACTAGACTCCTTGTTCACAATCAAGCTTTCCGCCCGCAACCAGCAGACACTCCGCCCAACCCCACCCGACCCAAAACGGCCCGTACTAACTCTAAACCCCAAAACCGCACCCTAAATTTAAACCCTAAACCCCCTAGACGCTAAATTAGGTTTAGGGTTTATTGGGGTTTAGGGTTTAGGACTAAAGTTTTAATCCCACAGAACTGCTGCTGATGTTGTTTGTATGGCATATTCTACCGTCTTTGCGAACCCGCTACCCCTAAACCCTAAACCCTAAACCCTAAACCCTAAACCCTGAACCCTAAACCCTAAACCCTAAACCCCTAAACCCCATGAGCTTGATTTAAACCCTCAGTCCCCCCTAAGCAATCCCGAAGCCCCTGGACTGAAGGCAAACATACATGTAAATATGAATATCGCGAAAAATAGACGTAAATGTGTACATGTAGTTATATATATATATATATACACATAATGTGCATATACCTGTACAGAGATGTATGCCCTGACATATGTGTATATCATATATATATATATATATATACACATAACTACAGACATGCTTGAATATCGACAAAGAGTTAAACTTTAAAAGTTCTGCACACAAATGCGGACGTCATTAATAGTTCTTATAACTATGGTATAGTATACCCCCCAAAACCCTATTCTAATTATTGAGGCCCCTACATTAGCCCGACGACCGGCGCCCGGCCCGGAGGAAGAGGTGGAGGAGCTCGAGGTCGTGATGGAGCGGCCGAGGATCAGGGAGGTGGGCTTTAGGGTTCGGGGCTTTACGGTTTAAGGTTTAGGGTTTTGGGCTGAGGGTCTCGGGTTTAGGGTTTAGGGCTTAGGGTTTAGGGTTTATATAGCTTTGGGTTTAGGGCTTAGGGTTTAGGCGATGAGGGTTTAGGGCTTAGGGCTTAGGGGGCCCCCCTGAACCCTAAACCCTAAGGTTCAGGGGGCGTGGTTTCAGAAGGACAATTTCTCAGCTTCAAGAGGGATCCTGGGAGTTTCTGATGGAGGAAGCTGGGCATCTCGGCATCGGGGGCCTGAATAATTACCTGCATTATTTTGGGGGCTGCTTCTTATAATTATAGTTTAATGCGCCCCCAAAACCTTATTCTAATTATTAAGGGCCCTACATTTTCCTGTATTGGGCTCTCAAGGGCACTCGACTCTTTTTTTCATCTCACAGGGCCTGCACCCGAAACCCTGAAGGGCTCTACGGTGCTTACAGACTCAGTTGAGGGGTTCTGGTTTACGGGATGACGGATGGGGAGCTTGCGAGGATTCGAGAGACCACCGCATGATGTCCTGCCCACAAAGTCTCTGTCCTTCGTTATCATTATCATTATCGTTACTATACTTTTCCTCGCCATTTTCACTGTCATTCGGGTATTTGGGGCGGGGTTTGGGGCGTACAGGGCTTCAACGGGTTATCTAGTCGTATCGGGCCACGAGGAACGGGCAGAGAGATTGGTCGCGAGCTCTCGCCTGGCATCCTTGTCATGTAGTCATGCAGCCATGCGAAACAAAGACAGTCGTTGCCTTCGTGAGGCCTATTTACAGTGAAAGGGGCCATGACCATGCTGGACTACTGTCCGTTTGCATGGGGCTAAATAGTGTTCCATATGTTTGATTTGAAGGGGGTGGGGTTTATGGGCTTAGCTTAGGGGTGTGGATTTCAAGGCTTGAAGGGTTATATATGTTCTACAATTGCTGGGCTTTGGAGTACCATACTTTAATACTTTTTTTTTGGAACCTGTTCCTAAAGGGAACCATTATGAAATAAAAGTCTATACTTTTTTCTCCCTGGTTACTTCAAAGCCCAGATGGTATTTTACGTTCTACGAGCTTGTATAAAAGGGTTGACAGAGGCTCGGTTGGGTTGGACCCTCAGGGTCTTGATGAGGGTTTAGGGTTTAGGGTTGGGGCGGTTAGGGTCTCAATTAGGGTCAGTCGCATCAGAGTTGATGTGCACTTACAGCTGCTCGAAGATGCACTGCGATTGCATTTGTCTCCTTTGATTAAACCCAAGCAATCCTAACAAGAATCCGGATCCAGGAAGCACTGCCTAGAACTACCAATGCCCTTCGAAATGCACGCACAACCGATGGGAACGCGCCACAGCCACTGGCCCCTAAACAATAAATCCTAAACCCCCTTATAGGCCTTAAACCTTAAACCCTAAACCCTCAACCCTCAACCCTCGACCCGAAACCCTAAACCCTATACCCTTAACCCTAACAGAGGTGGAGGTGAGGAAGGAAGGTCGTGAGCTGGGCCCAAAGCTCAGCTTGTACGTCGGTCTCGGTTTAGGGTTTAGGGTTTAGGGTTTTGTAGGGTTTAGGGTTTAGGGCCGGCATGCCGGCTTGAGTGACCCAGAGGCTTTTCGGGTTTGGGGCCTAGGCTTCGGGGTTAACTTGAAGTTATGTAGGGGCCCCTTTTGGTCTCGGGTTTGGGGTTTAGGGTCTAGAGTTCAGGGGTCTGGGGTCTCGCACGTGGGTTAAAGTTGTTGGGCATTGGGGGTTTATAAGCCCTAAACCCCAAACCCTAACCCCTAAACCCTAAGCCCTAAATTCCTGAACCCCTAAATCCTAAACCTAAACCCTAAACGCTAAACCCTAACTCCTGAACCCTAAGCCATAAATTCCTGAACCCCTAAATCCTAAACCATAAACCTGGCACTCTTCCGATCCTGCGCGGAAGCCCCGGAGCATCCCGAACCCGAATCCCCACACCCAGCCAAAGCACGAAATCCTGCGCCCTAAAGCCGAAGGGTTGAGGGTTTAGGGTTGCTTAGGGTTTAGGATTCAGGGTTGAGGGTTTAGGGTTTAGGGTTTAGGATTCAGGGGTTGAGGTTTAGGGTTGCTTAGGGTTTAGGATTCAGGGTTGAGGGTTTAGGGTTTAGGGTTTAGGATTCAGGGGTTGAGGTTTAGGGTTGCTTAGGGTTTAGGATTCAGGGTTGAGGGTTTAGGGTTTAGGGTTTAGGATTCAGGG